CTAGGATTAAAGGCATGTGCCACCACTGACTGTCTTGTTCTTATTTTTAAGTTCTATGTATATGAGCATGCCTGTGTATATATAGATACACAAGTACAGGTGTCCTCAGAGTCTAGAAGAGAACATCAGAGCTCCTGAAGCTGGAGTTACACGTGGTTGTGAGATGCATCACATTTATTTAAAAGTTGTTTGGGGGTGGAGAGTTGAGAGGACTAGGGTTCAATTGCCAGCATGCACATGGCAGCTCCCAATTGTAATTCCAATTCCAGGTGAGCTTCTGGCCTCCTTGGGCACATAGTGCACATACATCTATGCAGGCAAAGTATTCATACCCATAAATCTAAAAAAAGAAAGAAAAAGTTGTCTGTGGAGTTGGAGTGATGGTTCAGTGGTAAGAACACTTGGTGCTCTCTCAGAAACACAGATTCAGTTCCTAGCACCTACATGGCAGCTCACTCCAGTTCCAGTGGATCCAACAGCCTCTTCTGGCCTTTGCAGACACCAGGCATGCACAATGCAAATGCTTGCACATTCATGCAAGCAAAAAACTCAAACACATAAAATAGTCTGTTACTGATATTTAGTAGAGGAATGGAAAACTGGAGAAGTGCTGCAAGTCCACGTCTAATTTTTTAATGTGTTTGGTTGTGCTTTGTTGTTACATTTACTATATATATGGGGGACCATGCTTACCAAAATGCAAGCGTGGAAGCCAGAGGACAACTTTGGAGAGTTGGCTCTCCTTCCACTGTTAAGGTCACAGGGATGGGACTCAGTTTGTTGGGCTTGGTGTCAAGCCCTCCATCTATTTAGATGTTTGCAATGGTAAAGGCAAGTTAGGAAAGGGGGCTGTGCATGTCTCATACCCATAATCCCAGCACTGTGGAGGCAGAAGCAGAGGGATCACATGTTCAAAACAGACCTGGGCTATATAACGAAGACCCTGTCTCCCTACTGCATGAGTGCTGATAGAGAAATTGAGACATACAGGTGCTCAGGATGTAGATGGCAAAAAGAAAGCCTAGAATGGATGGGGCCCTGGGTTTGACTCCCAGAACCACCACCATGACCAGTTTAAAAAAAAATGTCCTTACTATAATCCCAGGTCACACAGGTATAGTGGCAGATTCCTTGTCTCGCCACCTATCATCCAATAACCTCCAGTTTTCAAAAATGGAAAATTGGGAGTGTTACTGTATAGAAAGATGGGGACCACTTTAGAAGCTACCTAGTTTCTTTTTGAGATAGGGTTTTATCATGTAGCCCTGGCTGACCAGGAACAAGCTAGTCTAGAACAGAAATCCACCTGCCTCTGCCTCAAAGTGCCAGGATTAAAAGTGAGCACCACCAGGCGCTGCAATACCTAGTTTCTTACTGCTCTGCTCAAGCACACTGTGTGTCCTGCTTCTGGACTGTCTCTCAAAGGCCTTCTTCTTATAGGGCCCCTCCCCATTCCTGCACTTCATCACATGTTAGTTAAACCTCCAGGGCTTTATTACAAAAGGAGTTGGTTGCTAGAGCGGGACCTCTCCAGTCTTTTTCTGCGTCTTCTTCCCTCCCAATATGTAACTCCAGGGAAGGTCAGTGGGCCACTCAAGGGTGTCTGAGAGAGTGAAATATGGTAGTATTTTCTTCACAGTCCTCCAAATCCTCTGGCTGCTGTTGAGAATCTTCTCATAGCAGAGGTAGGGGCTTAGTCTCATCTCCCAGATCCTCCATATCTACATCCTGGGGAACTTTCATCTTCTTTTGTCTTTTGGGCTGTGGCTCACTAGTCCTGGATGGCTTGGAGGGGTTTTCCACTTCCATGGCTGCCTTTTCTTTCTGAGCAAGGCGGATTTGCTGCAGGAGTTTCCTGCGCTTCTTCCCGGACAGCGTGATGTTGGCACGTGCACTGGATGCCCGCTTCTTGAGGTGGTGCCTTGTGGTCAGCCCCGCGTCTATCACAGCCCCGACCACCTGGCGCTTCCGTCGCCGATCCCTGCTCAGCACCCTCCGGCGCTTGAATAACTTCTTCAGCTCCGTGCGGGGACGATTGATCTTTCCTCCGGGAGGACCCATAGCGGCACGCTGAGGCACACTCCATCACTTATATTCTTAACTCTTCTTCTTTATCATGGTCACAGTTTTCTATAGATTATGGTTCCAAATATCTTTCAAACTATACCTTCCATTTATAATCCCATTCTATTGGCATGGATCATGTCTCCATCTTGATTTACAGGTAATTGTAATAATTTAATGTCATACATTTCACTGGTTTCATTGTCCTTAAAGATATGTTCTATGTTAAAGTATAGAAACATCCCATACGATTATATTTTCTCATTACTAAAACCCTTCTCCGTAGTAATACAACACCCAATAAATAAGAACTCAAGAAGGTGTATGAAGATGAAAAAGAGTTTATTGTTAAAGTGACTTAATCACATTTAAGGAGCCTATTTTTCTTGAACACTGGTCACTCTGAAGTTCATGTTGAAACACATTTTAGGGTTACCATTTCTGTTGTTGAAATGCCATCACCAAAAGCAAGCCAAGGAGGGAGCAGTTAATTTGGCTTCCCTTCCCTTCATCACTGCTCATCATTAAGGGAAGTCAGGACATGAATTCAATCAGGACAAGAATTTGTAGGTAGGAGCTGATGGAGGCCCCAGGGGAGAACTGATTATTGGTTTGCTCTTTTTTGCTTGCTCAGCTGCTTTCTTCTAGAACTCAGGACCATCATCACAGGAACGACACCACACACAATGGGCTGGGCTCTCTTCCATCATTCACTAGTTAAGACAATGCCCTGTAGGTTCACCTGTAGCCTGATTATATGAAACTATTTTCTTAATTGAGGTTCTCTCCTCAAACGACTTTAGCTTTTGTCAAATTGACATAAAAACTATCCCGTACAAAACCCAATCTTCATTGCAGTGGTATGCATAGGCAAGACCTTTAAAAAGTGAATAGATCTTATGACATAACAGATGCAGTTGGTGGCTTTTTCAAAATGGTTTCTGGAATTTCCTATCTAACTTTCTGCCATGTCTGGACACAGGAGGTTTTCTTCTCCAAGAACTGGCCATCACCAAACATCCAATCAATTCAAAATTTGCCGCTGGATTTCCCACCCTCCAGAACTGCATTCAATAAAAGTTCTGACCTGCTCGTCTCTCCTAACCTCAGATTTAGAGGATAATGAGTAGTGAAGAAGAGGAGTGGGCTAAGAAATTAAGAATGGAACTTAAATTGGTGTGCAAGGCTTCTATATAAAACATCACCTTCTCGACTATCAATGGTGGCATGGGAGTCAGACTTATGCAATCTTAAAGTCTTTAGCACACATATAGGGTCATCAGGTCATCTTTCACCAAGGATATTCTCAAAGTTGCAGCATCCTAGCATCTATACAACAATATAAACCTGAAGAATTCTTTAGAAGATTCGAAAAGTCCTTGAGAAAATGTTTCTAAAATATCAGTGTACAATAAAAAGACCAGCTCCATGACTGAGCACTTAGACCTGATGATTCTTCATGACAAACCCTTGTGCTGTCATAAGAACAAACAAACCACTTTAAAGTTTTTATTTTGTTTTATGAATGTGGGTATGCCTACATGTTTGTCTCTGTATAACATACATGCCTGATGCCAACAAAGACCAAAGAAGGGTGTCAGATCCCCTGGACCTGGGGTTACAGAAGGTTGTATGATTTCTGACTTGGGTGTTTGGACTTGAACTCTCGTCCTCTAGGAAAATAGCGAGTACTCAGCTTTTTACCCATCTTAACAGCCTGACAAAATACTTTTTAGGTATTTAATTTTTCATTAGGAGATGGATAAGAACCTTTAAGTAATTATGTAAATGTTATTATCTTAAGAATGTAAAGAACTAAAAAGAGAGAACATCTATCATTTAAACAAACAGTAAATGAATCAGAGACATGGATAAAGCAGGGGACAATGTGAGCACTGCGAAGTTACTACCCTGAGAACTACAAAACATGTAATGTAGTACAAGAATAGTGTTTCTCAAGGAGAATGACAGTAGTAAAAATTCACATGTGAATTCCCTCCTATTTAGTAGGCCTGAAGTCCAGTTAGACATCTGTTGGTTACTAAGATATCGATGCTGATGTGATTTCTCTGGGACACTCTGCTGGGCTGGTCATTGTTTTCATAGGCTTACAGCTGGGTTGAATTATTAATTACTTTTCTCCCACGGCAGCTGCACAGTATTTTCTGGTACTATGAGAGTTAGTTGTTAGGGAGGAGGCTTCTGGGTCAGTTCCAGTTCAGTTATTCTAATTCTGTGCCCAAAGTTTGTGCTGTCTTCAGAAATATGGTCTTACCTTCAAGTTCTGGGAGACATTCCAAGGGAAGGCAATATCTTATCATGTTTTGGGAATCTCTTGGATCCCCGTGGCCAACAACTTAAAAGGAAAGGTCCTTTGCCTGTTATTAAAATTTTTGTTATATTGTCCATGGGTGGCATCAGGAGGTAGTGGTGGTTGGTAAACCCCCCATGCACAACACACACAAACACACTATATATATTTGTTATTAAGCTTATAAAAGAAAATGTTTTTATTTAGCTTTTACGAACATCTTTAGTGTTATTTATCTCACCTTTCTCTCCATCCATTTCTGAAGTAAAGATGTCCCCCCTTTCCCCTCTTCCTTTTCACAGTGCCCGGGTCCTACTCAGTGCTCTCCAGAGATGCTTCTTTTCCCTCATAGCTTTACCTACTTTTAATGCTTCCATGGTACTCCAGTTATCTATAGGATTAGGACCCATAATAGGAGATCCTATAAGAGAGAATATATAGTGCTTGTCTTTATGGGTCTGGGTTACCACAGTATATTTTCTAGTTCCATTGATTTACATGGAAATTCCATGATTTCATTTTCTTTATAGCCGAATAAAATAACTTTATGCATGTGTACCATATTTTCATTATTCATTCAGTAGTTCATGGACGTATAGGCTGCTTTGACTTCCTAGCTATCATGAGTACAGTGACAATGGGCACGGCTGAGCAAGTATCTCTGTAGTAGGATATTGCACCTTTTGACATATGCTAAAGAGTGGTATAGCCGGGTCAATGGCAGATTTACTTTTTGCTTTTTGAGAAGTTTCCTCACTTATTTCTGTAGTCATTGTACCAGTTTGGGATTCCACAGAAAGGGAATAAAGCCCTTTCTGTACAGTCTCACCAGCATCTGTTGTTAGTTGTTTGCTTAGTCCTGGCCATTCTGATGGGGGTAAGATAAAACCTCAAAGTAATTTTAATTTGTACTTCCCTGATTGCTAAGGATCTTGAGCACTTTTAAATATTTCTTAGTCATATTTATTTCTTGTTTGATAAGACTTTATTCAAATCCATAGCCTATTTTTTGTACTGGATCAAGATTTTTATTTGAGGTATTTGTGTCTTTTAGGTACTAATTTCTATAGGATGTATAGCTGATAGATATTCTCTTTCACCCCGTGAACTTCCTCTTCACTTGGTTGTGTTCTTTGCTATGCAGCAGCTTTTTAGTTTTATGAGGTCTCATTTGTCAGCTGCTGGTTTGAATCCCTTAGTGAGGGAGCCCTGCTCAGAAAGTCCTAGATGTCAGTCTTGTAGGACACACCCTACGCTTTCTTCTATCAGTCTCAGTGTTTCAGGTTGTACACTGAGGTCCTTTCTGCATCTATTGAGACACATTTTTTTAGATAAAGCCAACTTGATCCTAACGGGTAATCACTTTGACATATGGCTATACTTATTTTGCAAGAATGTTATGAATAATTTTTGCAAGTCTTCTCATGAGGATATTAGCTTGTGGTTTACTTTTTTGTTGTGTCTTTATCTGACCGTGGTATTAGGCTAATATTTCTTTGTAGTAGGTGTTTGAAAGGGCTCCTTAGTTTTCTTCTTTCTTTCTTTTTTTTTTCTGTTCTGAAAAAAAATAAATAAAAAAGAAATCAAGTTGCTTTGGAAAGGAGCTTCATGAACAAAAATTAAAAAAATATTCAAAAGTAGAGGAAAATGTAGATAAATGGAGAGGGTTTGCTAATCTGGAGAGAGGAGATAACATGTGGAGGACAAAGCATCAAAGGCAAGGAAGAGAATGAAGGGCAGGTGGACAGTGTTGCAAGTTGTGGTCACTAAGAAAACTCTGGAATATGCTGGACTATGAGGAAAAGAAGTCTATATAAGGTAAGCTGAACATGACCTTTGAAATATGCCAGTAAAAAGCACTTACTATATCAAATAAAAAGTAGAATTAAGAAAAAGAAAGTGCAGTAGTAAAAATGAAAGAGAGAGATGGGAAGATGCCTATTATCCATACAATGCAGACACAACCTCAATTTTTAACTCTCTTCACTCACTTTCTGTGTTCTACTCTGACCTCCTCACTGTGATACATCATAGAAAACACTCTCCTTAGTCCTTACATTGTTTCTTGAGAACCCCCAGTGATGTTGATCTCAGGAGGCCTTCAAGATGCTTTAGATCTCAAGGGAGACATGGGAGAGATGTAAAGTATATGTAGATGAAGGAGGACTAAGACAGACTATTTTTGGTTCAAGGCAAAAATCCTCCAGAACAGGAAAGTGAGAACTGCAAGGTACTCTCTAGGATTTAGATAACCATAGCGCAATTCTTAACTACCAGTACTGTGCATAGGGAGCAGAAAGGTTTTAGAGAGCCTGTAAACAGCAGTTTCCAGCTACATGAAGGCTACTTGAGAGGAATAAGTCCATGCATATGGTGAATCACACTTAACAATTCACATAAGTTGAACTACCCTTGTATCCATGTAATGTCATCAGCTTGTTCATGGTGAATGATCTTATGGATATGTTCTTGAACTTGCTTTGCACAAGTATAGAATTTCAAAAAAATATTCCATCACAGAGAATACTGGCTAACACTTGAGAAAAAAACTGAATTTATTTCTTATATAAATGAGTTAAGATTGATCAAGTACTTAAGCATAGCTAAAATTTAAAATAGAAAACTTGAAATCAAGAGATTGCTGAAGACACATTGAGGGATACTTTTTATAATATATAATACAATTTATAGTATATAATTCA